CATTACCGATGTTGGGCTTCCATTATCGATATATTTTAATTTAAAATAATGAATCTTTTATACTTTTTTTAGATCTGAAGTTCACGATGTAATGCAACTTCTATGAAAGAGAAAGATGCTTCAGAGGTTTCAGAAACTAAATGAGAAAATTTCAACGTGAACGTGATAGAAAACGCAGCAATAGAAACGGTCCATTTATCGGCTCGCCGATTCGATCGCCGTTGATTTTCAAAGATATCGGCTTTAACTTGTTATCCTCGTTGCAACTAACCATTTAATACTACAATACGGTTGAAAAAACGTGGTTATAAATTGGTCAAAAACGGTCGCGAGTTAGAAAAATCCGATGGGAGAATGAAACGTGTTGAAAATAATTGGTTGGATATGTTTCCATCGATTAATTCAAATATATACACTCACGTTCATAAATTGTTAGATGCTTAATTCAAACTAGCAACATATTAGTAATTTATTTATCGATTCTTATGGTTTCTATAAATTTAATTATTGTAATATGATATTAAGAGGAAATTCTGTAAACGTATTTAGAGGAATATTGTTTTAAACGCGTGATAAAATAAATAGAATAATTCGAGTAATATCCGAGAGACAGATCCATTTTATCGAGATAATAAATTATTATACTTTATATTAAATAACAAGAATTTAATAATTTCAAATTAGACAATTCCAAGCACATTTTTTTTTTTTTTCCAAATTTTGTAAGACAATGTAATTTATAATTGGAGATGGAATCGTTGCGAGAAATATTAAATAAACGCTTGGAAATTTATAACTGTTTTTAATAAAAACATGAATGTATTAACACAGTTAATAACAGTTTAATGTTTAAAATTAATAACCGTCTGATTTATTTGACTTATGGACAAGAGTGTACATACAGCTCCAAACAGCTATTTCCAAATTTAAACTAAAAGCGATTTACATAACGATTTGAAGCTCTCTCCCTCTCTCTCTCCATTTCAAAAATCGCTTTAACGATAGCATGGTCGACGTTATAATAATATGACTGTTATTTAAAAGATGGCCATCCATCGAGAGCGGATTAATTACGCGTCATTACGAAATAATTAGTAATTCCGTTTCGTGGACGCGCATCTGTTTGTCCAAAGGTTCGTCATCGCGTTTAGAACCGTCGATCGTGGAAATGATATTTAATGGACGAACAGTTTCATCCTGGAGCCTTGGTTATAAATTATATCAGACACGTTATGGCCTGTTCCTCTCTTAATATGACACGCGATGGCAATTTGTACCCCATTATGACCGCTTTCTATTACGCATAACTACGAATCTCATTTCCTGATGTTAACCAATTGCTGTGCAAGGCTTCAGCATACTCGAAATTCTGAAATGGAAAAGCAACCTATTCCGTTAATTGATCGGATGGAGGTAATTGCATCGAAAAATGGACGAACATCGATTCCTCGATGTTCAGGCATAATGAAGATAAATTTGTACACTTTGAGTTAACGATAACAATTGAAATTTACGTGGTGTGGTATTAGGTAACTATAAGGAAAGTTTAGATAAATATTCTTACTTAATGTTTAATTTAAAAAAAGAAATAAATATTGTTACTCTCTTTTCTAATATTCTTTATTTTTTTAGTTTTGAAGATGATCATTAAAACTCAAACAGGAGGTACATAACGATCCAAAATGGAGGAGTGAAAATTGAGCAAGAAATTTTCTTCCACGAATCTTGTTTCGACAACATTCTCTGCAATTGAACGCTGTACGTAGAAATAATTTATAATTCTAAATAAATTCCAAATTTTTCTTAATATCAAATTTAAATAATTTTCAATTATTATTTGCAGCTACTCGATGTTAAGCAAATTTGGAAGGAGAACTAAAAACAAGTTATTTATATTTTTATTATCAAAGAAACAATTTTTAGTTATTCGATATAAAGTGAAAATGTATTTCATCGCAATGGGGAAATTCTTTTAAAACTTCAGCCGGAAAACAGGGAGAATTTCCTGCGGATATTCCGAGGAATTCAGGCAAGAACGGAAGTCGGATACGGAAGTCACCGCTTGAAATAAGCCTGCAGTTTGCTTTCGCCTTGGAGTAGTTGGACAACCACGTCTCGTGCCAACAACTTTACTACAATATCGTCTTCCTACGATTCCTCTTTGTTAGTCTGGTTTCCTGTTATTGCTCAATTCTTGGTCTGACACTATTCTTCATTTATTTCAAGGAAAAGTCGGATGAAGAACGTAACGAATGCTTTCAAAGTTTAATTTCAATTAAAGAATAATAATTGTTACTCATGCTTTTAACCTATATTTTTTTTTTTTAAATAGGTTTTCAACGCGGTTTCCAAAAGATATTTTCTTCTTTAAATTCTTTAAAATAATCGTTTCAAGTTACGTGATTATATTTAAAAAGTTTGCCATTTAAAAAATTTTGCAACGAATAAAATATGCAATTGTTAGTGTTGAGGGGTTGTTGAAGAATGCAACACGATTATTTCCTCCTTAAATTATTTCCTCGTTGAAATCATTGTTTTTGTTGTGCATAATTAATTATAATTGCAGAAGAATTTTTTCACAGATTACTGATCCGCTTATATCAATATTACATATCTTTTTTTAATTTTTTTTTATCTTTTCAAACAGAGAAAATTAGTAATTCAAAATGAAATATAAAAATTCGTATAGAAAGCAGCGATATTAAATTGCGGAAGCGGAAGTACTTAATTAAAACTTCGAATGGAAATGAGTTCAAAAATATAAAAAAAGAATTTCAATATCAAGAAGAATCTTTTTTTTTTTTTTCATGATTTACAACATTCCAGAATATGCTTGCATAATGCTTGTAACAAACAAACAAAAAAGAAAGAAAGAAAGAAAAAAGAAATTCCATAGATCCAGTACAGAGTGAATCAGTGAAAGTTGTAGAGGAATTGCCGAGTTCGAGCTTGTCGCCATCCTCCGGATATGCAAGCAACTAGCTCGTTCAATCCAGATTGTAACTAACTGTTCGAAACTACGTTTCCTACGATTTATCAACGGGTTTGTGTCTTGGCTAAATCTGTAGTCCCGATCCACACGGAAATATAAATATCGTGGGACCTGTTGCGCTTTGTGCACCATCGATGTTAGCACATCCAGCCCAAGTTGGAAGTGTAGTTGCATCACAGAAGAACTTGGCGAGATCCTGAAAATCTTACGATGGCTCTCTGGGTCATTGAATATGTTTAAAATTACGTATCACTGTTCTTTCGTGGAGTTTCTTAATAATCTGGACAAAAGTTCTCGAGGATTTTAATATTTTAATCAATTTCAATCACGGTTTTAATTGAAATTTTAATTGTAAGAGTGGTACTGTGTTGTTCAGTTAAAATATCGTATGCAGAGCAATTTGAAAGACTTGGAAAAGTTTCATTATTTTTCTTTCTTTCCTGTCTTCTTTCAGCTAGCATAGATAAATTGAATTTGACTTTAAATTCTTGCAAAGTAAATAAAGTTATCTAATTTTATTTAAAATTTAAAAGAACACATGGAACTTGAGTGTAAATTAAAGAATAACAAAATGTTGGATGGGATATTTTAAATAAAAAGGTAAGGTTTGTTTCCTTTTATTCTTTTAATTCTTTTAATTCTTTAAATTCATCATTTACAGCAAGTTCAAAATTGTTAACTGAGGTATAAGCAATGATTCTTGATTCACTATGATACGTGGATGCACTTATTCAAAATTTATTACAGGTGATAGAGAATCGTTACGAAAGGATGGACGAAAAAAAGTTCTTTCATTTTACGATTAGTTTTCCTTATTCCCTGTTCGCCTACAGGATGGATAATAAAAGAGGCAATAACTAGTAGACTTTCATAACAGGCACTAACCTCACGATGCTCCTTTGCTCGTATGTTCCCTCCTGAAAACTTGGCTCTTTTGAACCGTCTGTTTTTCTTGTGCTCGTAAAAAAGATACGAACCCACTATAATTTTTCCATTTATAAGCACGACGTGGATTTCATAACGATAGTATAATAATTTTTTTTCCTTCTTTTTGAACTTGCAAGCGTCCCTCGTTTCGAATTTCATCGACTTTATATGAAGGGAAAGAGCAGAAAGTTATAAATACGGGTATAAAATCTTCATAATTCATCTTAATATTAATCCAAACGATAATTTGAAACTTTCATAAATTGACTATTTCTGTTTCATCGTAAATCTTGGAATTTTCATCTGGCTACAAATAAGGTTATTTTCAGACTCGAGACACATTGAATTTTCTACATTTAAACATTTAACGAGACGAATTATGAGGAACGAGGTGAGAAGTCAATTTGCATTGTAGAAAAACAAGGAAGGAAGTTGGTACAGAGGTGGTAGATGATTTGCAAGGGTGAGCGGCGAATTGAAAGTTATAAGTCATAGCCTTTTCAACCCTCGAGCAACTCCGTCAGAAGATTGAATTTTACTTTAACATTACTTGAAAAGTCGTTACTGTTTCCTGTGCTTTAACGTATTTCCGAGCAACGAAAGACAAAGGTAAAGAATTCGTTAATATCGCTTCTACAGTTGAAAGATATAAATCATAACGAAAATTCCATGAATAATGAGGTTTCTTCGTTAAAAAAGTTTCCAAAAGTGTTTACTTATTTTTCATATTCATTTCAGTTTTTCATTTCAATATTAAAATTATTAAATTTATATAATATTTATTAATTTTTCATTTATACTTTTGATCAAGATAGAATATGAGAATGAGGTATGAAATTAAAGGAAAGGTAATTTATAATTTTTTAAAAAAATATGGTAGATAAAAGTATTGAAAGATATTATTTTTTCTTTTTTTTCTAGAATTTCAAATATTTTAATAAGAATAAAAATTCGATAAAGGGAAAGTATTTTATGTTTAATTATTATATTTCTGAAAGTATTAAACAGAGCACGTGGGAAGGCGCATGTGTAACACACGCAGCAGCACGTGGCTGGCTCGAGCCGCGATTCGGTCGATTTCGGATAGTTTCGTAAGTCGACGGTAGACGGATCGGTGGCAGTCGCGCGCCGGCCGCTGCCTCGGTAGGGTGTTTGTGTTTACGTCGTCGCGATGAAAATTTGGCCGCCATAGAGGTTATGTTTACGCGTGCCGCGGAAACCAAATCGACGACGCATGCCCTTCTGCGTCCACCTTTTCGAAAATCCTTCACTGATCGCCACGTGCCTGTCGAGAAATCCTCCATTGACTTCCTATGACATCGCGTCCCTCGGTGCACGGAGCATCTTGACAACTCTTGATATATCCAGAATTTCGTGAGTACATTATTCCATCAATCCTATTCTATTTTTTCTATCTCTGTATTATTTGAATTATTCATATATCCATATAACGATTTGGTAAACGAATCATTATGATTCGGAATATCGTAACGTGAACGTTGATTTGGAATGACAGTTATGAGCAGAGTTTAAACATGGCGGTCGTATCTGCCAATCAAACGTATTAGTCAACCATTCGAATTATTTACGCGGTATTCCTCTTCGAATATCACGTTCGAAATATTCTCAAATAGCCACCAGAGTGCTCTAATTGTATCGTATCGTGTAAAATAATACGAAATCAATTATATCTTTCGTATTTTTCGCGTATAAATTCATTTTAACGTAAATCGTGATACGTAATTGATAAAGTACGAATCGGATAAGTAAACACAATACGAAATTCATAACACACGTGTCGCTGTGTTTCTGCGAAAACGAAAGATATGCTAAGTCACATGACATGACTCATCCCGATACTTTTTCACGTTGTATTCGTTCGATATTTTTTTCCAAGTGACTTGTCGCGTTCAAAGAAATGTAAATTATTTCGATATATTATGCGAATCGAATCGTGATTACAGATATAAAATATAATGCAATAGTGTGAGTTTTAATGTTGTTTAACCGCTTATAACTTCACCGCAAAGATGAATTATAATGTGGAGCATATTTTGAAACTTGGTCCAATAACAATTTACAATTGACCATTCGAATCGAGTTTTCCTGCGCGACAGATGCATTCACGCATAATTCACGAATAAATTATATCATGCGTGTGTACAAATGATGCTGGTTAAACGACTGGTGGCCATTGTTACTCGGTGCAATTTGCTTGAAAAAGTTAATGGCGGAAATTTATCATCTTGTTATATACCGGGCTTTTTATCGTTTTCATTAGAAAACTCAGTGGTAATTAATCGATTAGGTGATTAGCTACGCGTTTTATTAAACTTTTTATTCGTAAAAGAATCGATCTCTTCATTCATCAAGTCTACGATCATTTTCTTTGTTTCACACAAAGTAGACATTAATCTTAACTTGCTGCATAATGAATTTTGTTCCCAAATAAATAGCATTAATAAACACAACTTGTTTTAAAATGAAAATTCCTAATCAAAATAGAAACATTTTATATATTCGCTTAACTCTTTAAGCTTGTTAATTGATTCTTAAATAAATTGTTTTCCTATTGTTTGATAATTAATTTTATTAGATAGATGAATTAAAAAGAGTGGAACAAAATTCATTAACAAATATATCATTCTATTAATAAATTTAATTGACTATAACTGAATAGCTAACCATCATTTTAAAAAATAATCGTTGTGTCGCGAAATTATTTATAAATTAAATGCTATATATTTCGTAAAAATGAAAAAACCATATTTTATCAGCTAACAATCCGTCAATTGTCAGTCAAATTAAATTCGATCCATGATTTATTCCCGTTCCAAGTAATCGTCGCGATCAAATTTTGATCTCGCGAGAAGGTAGACGAAAAACACGAGGGAGGGCTTCTTTATTAAATTTCCTCAGAGGTTCGCGATCCATATAAAACGTTGAGCGGATTTATTAGACTTATATTTTCATTCCGAATCGCAAAATCGAGTTAATGAGAAATATCAGTTTAATAATTTTCCATAAGTTTAAAATTAAAAAAAAAAAAAAAATAAGGAAAAGGGGAAAAAGAAGCGAACAAGCGATAAATATAAATTTGTCGACGTCGAGCACAGGTAGAATTTAGTGTTTCGTCACGCGATATATTTAAATTTTTCATCCGTTTATTTTATACGGTCTGCTACATAATTTCGCGAGTCTCTCAATGGACACGTGACTGTGGATAATCCTGGTTGGTAGGGAAAAAAAAAAAAAAAGGAAAAAAAGAAAAAGGGACAATGTTCGCAATCGATGAAGCTATTGTAAGAGCTGACGTAACCATCCACTGTCGAGTCTTTTGCGGAATTGCCCGCATAAGCGAAAATCAGTCCTCGTCGATCGTGATGCGAAATGTTGCAAAATTTCCCTTTGACGGTGCACGCTTTCATTCATGGGCGGTTCGTATTAGAATCATGCTCTGGAATAAGAATCTCTTTGTTCAATGTTCGATCGATAATTTTCTTTTTTTTTTTAATTAAAATAAAATGGAAGCTTGTTTCTTTTTAACGCCATAGTATTTACTTTCTTCTTTTTATTTATTTATTTATTTTTTTTTTCAAAGAAATGAGCCTGTTCCTATGAGATATAGGTTAGATAGATAAAGAAATGTCGATCCAACATTTCCCTTATCTTCTTATCCCGGGCTTTCTAAGATGATCTCGCCAAGATGCTTCGAACAATCATAAATCACAAAAGAAAGGGTAGCTGACAAAGGTGTTGAACAAAGAGAATATATAGGGAGAGGAGGGGGAGGAAGTGAGAGCAGATGAAAGAGATATTCAAAGGATGGCTATTCCTTCTTTCTTTCCCAAACTTTCCTTATCTCTCGTATCAATTGTTTTTTTCTTTCTTTCTTTCTTTCTTTCCTTCTTCCCCTCTTTTCGATTAGAAAATTTCTATTATTGTTACGAATTACGATGGATGAAATAACGGGGTGAATTAGAAAATTTTAATCAGAGGAGGAAAAAATGTTATTTATCTTCGATATGCGACATTCTTTATCCCGAATAACCCTTTTTCAATTGTCTCATCTATTTTCGACTGGAACAATCGAACGTGGAATTACAAAAGCGCGCCAGAAAATTTGCCCCTTTCCACGTGTCCCCCCCGCTTCCTCTCCTTTGTTCATTTAATCTCTCGTTCTCTATTAAATTATTCCATCAAATATTCGATAAATCAAAATTTGGTATAAATAACCTCGCTTCGAACAATCGATAGCTCGCATTCTCAATTAATCGCGAGTATTGGTAACACAAAGGGCAGAAAAATCTCTACGCAATAATACTCTCCTCTTCGTAATTTCGAATTACTTTTTGAATAATAAAAGAGAGATTCCTCGCATTTTTTTCATGTATTTTCTCATCGAGAAACTAACATTTGTTTTAACGTGTAAACAATGTTATTCGTCGAAGAGGAATCGTAGAACTGGCCGTGTAAAAACTTAGTTTTAACGTAAAAATACAGAGATCGAGAGGAAGAGAGTCGCCGTTGAGTCTACAAACTGAAATATATACGTATGTATGTGTATATATGTATATATCTTCGAATATACACGAAAGTAGTTGCATTGTTTTTTCGGGGTCGACAGAAAGAAGAGCATGCAACTCTCTCTCAGAATTTCTTTCTTGACCCGAGGAACGATCGTTACATTGAATTAAAGTCGAATAAAACGTCCACTTGTCTTCGAAACTATCGGTAAACGCGGCCAGACAATCACGTTGTTTTCATGATTTTATTTTTCGAGATTTGAATAACGTGTAACGAGATACTTTCGCCTCGATCGAACCATCGGTACAATCTCGAATTTTAGAATGCATGCATAAGGATCGGCGAATAAAAAGATCGAGAAATAAAATCGTTTCGAAATTGTTCTCGACAAATCTTTATACGTATCTATCGAATATTTTATATAATCGGAGAATGTTGAGAAAGAAATCGTTGCAATTTAAATAGACGAATGAAACTAAACGTGATAACGATAAGAAGGATTTTGTTGATCGATCGTCAAAAATTTGTGACTGGTACTAATTTTGAAACTAGATCGCGCGATATCCAGTACCTGTTGGGATGAAATAGATTGAACGAAATCCCTAAGACAAATTCCTTGACCTAGTGTCTAAGAGTTCGCAAGGAAAATAGTGAGTCCATTTCTTTTAAACGATGAATTATCCTTGTAAAAATCTTTGTAAAGCATCTTCTTTTGTAAAAACAAGCTAGGTCGATTTGTCCCAACAGCTTTCTTAAATTTTATCAAAAGTGCACGAAGTTAAAATTATATTTCTAATCAACCCTCCAGAATTAGATACACAAATATATCCCTGTTAATTTTCCTAGCATAATTTTGTATATTTTTGTAATCGTAAAAATCCATTGTTATCATTATGGATCGTTTCGTCCATAATTGTACAATTGAAAAAAGAACACCTATCCAGATATGTATATCTTGTAATATAGCACTGACGTTTCAAAATATCAAATTACAAAAGATAGAAAAACAAATTGATTAATCGGCGGGCAAAAAAAGTTAATCAAAGAGATTTGCGGGGGGAGGGGATGGGGAACGCGAAACGAAGCTCGAATCTCGAATATCTTGATTTTTCCTTTTTTGTTTTTCAACTGTTTCGCGTTTATACGTTTCATTTGTGGCGAGTACATAGAGCTTGACGCCTCGTTAAAAATGATTTAACGAAAACGCGAGAACGCGTGGATAAATTTGAGTTTTAAAGGGTGGCGGTTTCGAAGCCGGGCTTGTTATACACGCAAACGCGAACGCAATGTTTGCGACGATAAATTCAGACCTCGAGAGTGCTCGTGGGGATCGTGTGCAAAATGTAAATTCCGTAACAAAACTGGCAGGATCGCCGCTCGGCTTCTGGGGCCAATGAGAAACATTGGGGCGGAGGGTTTCGAAGCACGCGATACGGGTCACCGACGTGCACTCGCGCAAAGTGAAAATATTCTGGAATTTCTTGCAGCCACACCATTTCTTCCCTCCTCCTACCCTTCTTTCCCTTCATTCACGCTTCATTTAAAGAAAGCTGGCACGCTTTCAGTTTCTGTTCCGCGAATACGAACTTGGTGAGGCGAAGTTTTTAATTGGTGAAGAAAGAAACATCTGTGAGGGAGGATTTTTAATTTTAATCCGCGAATAAGTTGTTCTTAGAGAAGAATCGACGAATTATTTGAAAAAGAGGAGATTTTTCGATCGATCATTTAAAAATGAAGTGGAACGAGTCAATTGAAATTATCTGAAAATTGTCTGATTGTAAAGTTCAATAATAATTTTTTGAAACACGGTCGAGACACATTCGAGACAAAGATGAACAATTAAATTCAAAGTTTCGTTCGGGGAGGGATGAAGAAATTAGTGAAAATGATTCTCGTTACTTCGATAACGACTCTCTTCTTTCTGAATATAATTTACCAATCTATCACAAACGCGAAATAAACGCTTGGATAACTCGATAATTAGTAATTTAATTCTGCCACTCTAGCACGTTTGCTCGTATTAATTCATGGTAATTATCTGGCCGACTTGTAATAAAGCGCAAAGCTGCGATTCCATCGTCGATACTTATTCCATAAATTTTAAAGCGATTATTTATGATTGCCAGATTGCCAATCACGTTATTTGTTTCATAAACACGTGAATAATTCAACGAAAAATTTGAAGCATCGTACAAAACCTGCTAAAGATTTCACAAGTTTCGTACTACAGCGTTATAAAATCCGTGGAAAATTCTAAATTACAGGAAAAAAAAAAAGAAGGAAAAAAGGAAATGTTAATACGCTCGTAATCTTCTTGAATATTAAATCATCTTAAATATGAAAAAAGAAAAAACGTTTTTCGTTTGAAACAAATGAGTTTTATTATGGAAAAAATCGGAGGGAAAGTAGTCATATAAGAGGGAACGAGAAAATTATGAAAATCCGTGGCAAGTTCTCTTTCCTTTCCTTTATTTTAAAATTATGTGGAATATTTTTAAAGTATCCTCGATCAAATATGCAAAATTATTTTAAAATTGATTTATTTAAAAGTGGGCACTTTCGTTGGCACTCAATATCGGTCAGCTTTTTAAATTTTTTAACAATTTTCTATAATTAAAAAATTTTAATTATAGAATATCATTTTATACTTGTATTAAAATAATAAATAAAATATAAAATGTAAAATTAGGAAATTATCAATGCAGACAATGTTAAGAATCATTGCATTATTCATTTTTTCCTCGGTATATTTTAAAGACTCGAAACGGTTTTAATCCATTCATTTCAGAAGAAACGAATTCTGTTATAATTTACGATTCGCGTGTGCGCGAGAAAAGAAAAAAATATTAAATTAAATATCCACACGAAAAATTCCTTAAGATTAAATCACTATCAAAGAGGGAAAATATTAAAATATTTAAATGCTTAATAAAATTTTTGCGGTTAAAATTTCACACATCGATTGCTAAGAGATATTAATTTGATGCGATAAAGTTGTGCGATGGAATATTGAAAAGCTTGCTGTTTGTTTTAAAACAAACGAAGAATTATCCTACGAAATGTTTGCTGGAACCAAGTTCCAATGTACTCTCAGTTATTATCGCGCCAAGTTTATGCATTAACGTCACCCCTCCTCGCGTTGCCTTTTACGCGTACACACCACTTTCCCCGGCGATCTTTGTTGCGTTGCAGCGGCGAATTATAGAAGCTGCAAGCTCATCCAAGCTTTGTTAATCTTGCTTTCAGGTAAATGCGCAGGAGCGTGGTGTGTGCCGGCCCTCGGACGTGATTTGGTGCGGTGGTGTGCGTGTAAAGGGCCAACAAGAGAGGCCGGAACGGTGAGCATTCGAGATGAGCTATGAATTTAGGCTGCCTGGTAGCCATCGTCTTTGTGCATCAGCTGCTGTCCGACGCCACAGCGCTACCCTCAGTCGTCAAGATTGGTGAGTCGATTCTATCTATCACTTTTTTGGTGGTTAAAAAATCATCGAGTTCTTCTGAGTTTATTTATTATTTTTTATCGAGAAATTGTTTGTATAAAGAATTATGTAATTATGTAAAGAACAAGTGACACAGGTTTTCTACTGTGTTTAGAAAGAAGCATGGTTATCCACGGAGGGGTTTGAGATCGTAGTTTTTTAGATTTGTGGACAACGAGGGATTAATGTAGTTGTCATCGCTTTTCCCTTTCTTTCGAATTGTCAAAATTATTAGGAATTGAAAAAAATTCTTTCTTCCTTTTTCAAATTGCTAAAATTGTGAAAATCTTGAAAGCTCTCAATTTTTGCAACTTGCTGTACAATGTGCCAACATTCTCTGAGAAAAGTATCAACGGATAAAAGGATTGTCTTGTTAATACATATATATATAAGTAACAAACATGTCAACAAAGATAAAGTAACCAAGCGCATTGTAATCCCCGAGAAGAGCTGTGTAGAGAAACAAAGTAGAGTAGAAAAGTCTTACATTTTAAAAGGGGAATTAGCGAAAGATCGTGACGCTCTCGTTCTCCTCGAGTAACACCCCCTTCCCTTCCCTCGATCTTTTTTTCCCCTTTCCCTTCTTCCGTGGTTTCACAACAGTTCATGCATACTTCGTTTCGAATTTACGCTTTGCTTAAAGTATTCGCAATTTTGCCCCGAGTTCGTTATCAAAACGATCGAGCTCGGCGTGGAAAAGGGTCATGGAATTTGCAAAACGTGAAATAAAACTCGCCTCGTCGTTAGTATTCCGACGATCGTAAAGTTGGGGCTGTAACTCGATAAATTGAACTTCTTAATGCAATCCTGTGAAGTTCTGGCCAGCTACTTCGTTTGGCTGAGTAATTTTCGAGTAATAAAAGTACGTGACCACGTTGATCAGGAGTAATTTCGAATATTTCGTAGTTAAAATAATGGGGGCTGAAGGTTCGGCTAAAAATGTTTGTACTCCGTTAAAAGCTTTCTGATAGGAAATGTCAACATTCGGATAGGTGCTATTTGGATTTGAGATATCTTCAAAGTGGATAAAAGTAGCCTTGTAAATTTGTTGTTGAGATAGATTTGTGATTAAACATCTTGGATTATTATTCTTCTTAATGAATTTTAAGGAATAAGATAGTGATAGCGAAACTTTTTTATTTTTTATATTAAAATAAAAAAGATATTCATTGTAAGAACTTTAGCAACATAAATATCGTTGTTTGGCATCGATTGAAAAATTTACATTTTAAATTGCGCATATTGTATCTGGTATAAAATTAAAATTAAAACATGTAAATAAACTCACTATCTTATCCTTTTTTATCTCGTGCATTATAAGTTTCAAAATTGCATGCTTCTTTTTTTCTTTACGTAACTTCTTCGTATTTTTTCCAATATTAAGGCAATATTCAGGTCGTGAACGCAAAGTCGTGTATCTTATAACGCGATTATTAATTGTTAACATCTGCTATACCTTGTTCCATTTGGCTTTGAAATTTGATTTCCGCTGTTGGATGTCCCAAAGGCGGAAGTTGGAATCACGCGAGAGTTCTTTAGCTAGACAAAGTGCAGACACGCTCAAATATTCTCGCAAAGAAAGGGCTTGTTCACGTGTTAAGTCAATCAATTAGAGAGGATCGATAATTTTCATTGAACGCATCGATGGAAGTAGTGGTTTGGCGAAGCTCACAAGTTTAGCGTACCTTGATAAAATTTGCTTCCTTAATTTGATAAGCTTCGAGAAATTGTCTCGAATTTTTTTTAAATTCAATAAAGGTAGTTCATTGATTCGATCAATCGTTTGATCGATTCACGATACACAGTTCGCAATCTTTGTTGTGGACAATGTTGATGCAGACATTTTTACGATTTGACTGAAAATGATGCTCGTGATATTTCATAATAAGTGCATATAAATTTGCGTTATATTTTCCAAATTTTCGATTTATTTCCAAGAGAATTTTCGCGACGAAAATTATCGTGTCTGTTATCTTGCCAAATAGGTCCCGTAATTTACGTGATCGAGTGAATCGTTCGAATGGAATAACCTTTGAAGGGCTCGACATTTGCCGCAACAAGATCGAGGTCTTTAGATGGGCGAGAAGCCCAGTTAATGGTTCTTGGTCATAAATCATTTAATAACGAACGTTAGTCCACAGATACTGTGCCAGGGATATATATATCTTTTTCCGTTTTTTATCTCATTTATTATAAAAAATTATTATTCGAGAGGAATTCAAACATATTACTTCCTATGTTTGAAATTTGAAATTAATTCTTTTGAGAAGTTTTTTTTTTCTGGAATAAAAATTTGTTTCATAATGAGAAGGAAGATATTTCATTTCATTAAACTCGTTAGTTCAAAATTTTTGACAAAATTAATTTAAAAAAATTCTATTTCCATTTGTTACTTTATTCGCTTCATATTTTAAATTCTAAAATTATGGGATATTTCGTTATATTTTCGTATGGTATATTGTGATATATTTCTATGATTCGTTTACCTAGTTTGGAATCTTGTACGAACATAATGGATTTCATCTGAACATATTTTATATCTCTGAGTAAAGATTTGGCAAGGAATCAGCAATTTCAATTAAGGAATAAAAGTCGCGATCACGAAGGAAAAATCGAGAGAAATAATTTACTTTTGACAATTTTCTGTCTTTTTTTCTTCCAGGATAAATATCATCTCTTCAAATCGAAAAAAAAAAAAACTACTAAGCTATTTACAATAAAAAAGATTAATCTAGGATCTTCCATATAAAAAGAGAAAACACGAATAAAAAATTACTTCTTCTCGTGTTTTCCATACGATAATTCCTATTTACAATTGGCTTATTAGTTTTTTTCACAGAAGAAATGATCATATTTTAGGAAACAATTTTCATTCATATATCTAACTGCAAAAGAAATAACAAAACGTAACATCTCACGCGTGTAGCCAAATTTTTCCCCCGTACCATACCTAGATATATTTTTTCCGGAAGAATGTTAGACAGATAACTTTCAACTATCTCAAAACGACATTACCGGGCTCAGTGAAGTTTTATCTGTAAAGGGCGTAGCTCGCGATATAGATACGCGTGAGACGTTTCCCCTTTTCTCAATCCCCTCCAACTGTCTCCTCCAACTTATGGGAAACTCACAAATGAATAGTGAACAAGCATTCGTTTCTCTTTGTTCCTTATCCTCTCGAAAGATTTCACCTCTAGGAAGGAAAGGAAAAACTCGCGGAGGAAAAATTGCTCCGAAAGAATAAAGTGTACGCGACCGGTTAAACTTCTCTCTGTTTTCTGTTTCTCACTCCGTTATCACGAGAAGGATGCAGTTGTCCTTGCTGTAACGAAGGCTGAGTGTTCCACGAGATTTGTCTTTTTATTCTTGCCATACGGAATACGAAGAATAGCAAGAGTATAGAGAGCGAATGCAGTTAATTATTATAATCTTTATTCTTACGTACTCGATCATCTTCGTTGTAACGTGAAAAAATTTCGTCGCGTGTTAAAAACCATATATTTTTGAAATTCGTGCGTTTCTCATTTGTAACATAGAAATCTCATTTCGTCAAACGATTTTTGCGATGTTTGCCATTTTTCTCGGGGATGAAAATTCAAAGGACACGGTTTTTAAAAGGGGATGAAAAATGACAGTGACGTCACGTCAGAATTTCAATTTCAATATACAGTATTTCATTAATAATTTTAAAAATGTGTATCCTTTTTCTCGCCTCTGGGAAATTTCACTTTATAAGAGACTGTTTCGAAAGATTGTGTTTGTCACTCGTCGAAAGAACTACCGTGAAAATCCACCCTCGCCCCTTCAAGATCCTTTCCATTCGCGTTGACGAGCGAGGAGGGGTGAATAAATGGATAAAGTTTGGCAACAAAAGAGAAACGTGGTTAACTCTTACTTGCTCAGACACTTGTTCCCGAATTTCCCGTTTCCTTCGACTTTTATTATTCCATGGTGTACTTATTGTCGACGAATTTTATCACTTCTGGTGTGGATTATCGAGAAGAGATCGAACATCTCGTCGTATGGAACTTGGAGATCGTATTGGGATATAGAGAATATAGTTGTAATAATTCTTAAAAACTGACCATTTTACTGACTAAAACAGACATATATCGTCAAAATAAGAAAAATAACTTTTTTTATTCATTGCATTATTCTAATTAAATTTCCAAGATTTTATAAATAAAAATAAATAATATCAAATACGAGAAATTGTATTTGAGAAGTGGAAAAAACCAATAAATTTGAATATCTCGATTACGAGAACCCTTAACGAATTTTTTTCGCAAAATTTCGCACAATTCATTATCACGAGCTTCCAACTTTTTACTTCTAAAATCTACGTGGAACCGCGGAATATTACTGTCAAAAATATGTAGAACGTACACCAATGTATCTTCAATCCTCTAACAAGAAACATTACACGATCGAAAAAACGATCGTTGATTCTAGGAACGAAGCTCAAGAGCTCCAATATATATTCGCAAAATGAAACAATCTCTGTGTTTCATGGACCTCCTTTTTTGTACGGTTCTCCGCGATATTAGAGGATATGAAAGAAAAAAGGGAGAGAGAGAAAAAGAAAAAAAGGAAAAGAATTGCACAGAGGAAGATGCTGGAACGGTATGTAAATGCTGGAACGTTAGTTTCTTCGTTTTCACGTTCCAACTTCCGGTCTCGAGTCGGCCTGATGGGCTTTCGTTGTCTCCTTGTATTTCTGTAACGATGATAATTCGATGGGGTGCCAGAAAGGGAAAAAGAGAGGAAAAGGACGAGGTAAGAGCTGAGCGTGGGTGGGACCGGAAGAGAAAAGCAACGAAGAAGAGTAGTTACGACTTCACGGCGCCTGAAGCATCAGCGAGCCGCGGATTTTACCAGGATTTCTCGTTCGTTTACCACGTGATAATTTATGGACGATTGATTATGGACGTATTATTTCTCAGTTCTCGTGATAGAAATTATCG